CCGCAAAAAGTTAATTCCCGTCCTTTAAATCGACATGGTCAAACTTGGATACCTTGAAGTTGAAGGAACCAGAGAAAAAAGTTCAATCTAAAAATTATCTCAATCAGAATTTGAAAATAAAACTGCAATTAAAGACACAAACTTTATTTTACGAAATACACATATATTGTAACTATAGTTACGGTATTGGCTAATATTGAAAAGGTGGAGTAACAGGTGGGTAAAATATTTACCTTAGTAACTAGCTGTGCGCCGTGCAGAGGAGCATGAGCCAGCGGCGACGATGCCGGGGAAGAAGCCGCTTCCTGGTGGACGGAGCAGCTATCCCATTGACGCGCGCCCGAACGGCTACACCGGTTCCGCTTCCGGCCACTGAGGCGTGAAAGGAAATCGAACCCGCGCCTGCGCAGATACCTCTGTCCCGCCCGTCCCCTCTCCGCACGTAGGCGTCGCCGCGCCCCGCGCCGGCCGTCCTCGCCTCGGACACATCGCCCAGACACCGCGCGGTGAAGCTACTTACGGCCCATTCACCATGCAAACATAAACGGCAAGCATGGCGTTTACATAAAAGTTAGGACTACGTCCATAAGCGGACTCATTCATAATGCGTTCGCATAAACATAACACTTAAGACGTTAACTTAAAAGCTTGCAAGCTTCAAGCTTCTGTGCTTATACTTAAGTTAAACATAAGAAATGAATCAATCATAGTACGGTAATCAAAACAGAGTATCGAAATAGGAGTGAAGTCGATACCACAAATCGATTCTCACATCCAACCAATAGTAAACCAGAATATCTCACACACTATAGAAACTCTTATTTTGCTTACGTTAATGTTAGACATTGTGAATACTTCAGTCTATCACTTATGTTAATGTTTGTCTATGCGCTATGGCCTACGCCTCGCGCCGCTGTTGAAATGGTTTGACGAAAGCACGTAATTGAAGAGGTGGAAGCCAAAACGCAACAAGTCAGAAAATGCTTTTCATTTTTTACTGATACAGTATTGCTTATTATTGCCTTTGAAACGGAACTCAATACTCACTGCATTACGTTCCCTGCATCGCGAGGATCGTGGTTACGAGGGAAATAGGAAAACAGTTGAATGATGATTCGTGTTCTCTCATGGCAGAAATTATGGGAGGGAAATATGACACGACAAACCGAGTCAAAGTAACATTAATTATTTAATAAATCTGAATCATTAAAATTACGCAAAAAATTAAATCTTGTATGTACCACGGCCGTAAAGTAGGTCTAATGATAATGGCGGCTAAAAGGCCCGCGAGGCAAAGGCCCTCCAGCATTTTGCCGCTACTCGATCACTAGTACCCTTCTAATGTCCTTGGTATAACTACTTTAGGAGAAGACTATTTTATACCGTAATAAGTAACTAAGCCTCATTTGGAAAATATAACCCTTTTTTGGCTCGATAACTTCACGACTATGTACTTTTGCTAAGTATTTCTGTTATATTAGATGCATCAATGAATTAGATACATTAATGACTCATAACTCATAACTAAAACAATAAAAATATAATAAAAATAATGACTTGTTGCTTTTTGGAATCAACCATTTAAAGAATTTGTTTCCAAAATGACCAACCCAAAACGAACCACCAATCCATCCAAACCACCAAGTATATATTTTCTATGTTCTTTGAAAACTCCGTTCTTCATTGTGGTTGGCGGAGTACAGAAGTTTTCAGAAGATTTAATGTTAAAAGTTAGATGCTATTTTTAATGTTAAAATAATATTGAGTATTTATTTTCCATAATTATGATTTTTCATGATGTCTGATGAGTTTGTGGATGTTTAGAAAAACGAGATCTGAATCTGGATGATTACTTTGTAAGTTGGGTGTGGCTGTAACGGACGGTGGTACTTTACCCAGATAGAATAGGGTGTTACTAGTATACGATGGCAAGTCATAACATTTATTTCAAATATTGTTAAAGTACTCGGTAATATTTGGTATTTATGTTTTTTATAGTTTGAAGCATTGAGAACCACTTATACTTGCACTACAAATCGCGCTTAACTACATAAGTTTGTGGGCACTGAGAATTATTGTGGGCCTGCTGTAGCTCCTGAGCTAAGTGAGGTGGCATTTGAAAGGACGTTAATTAGTTTAGTAATACCCGATGTTTTAAACATATTATGAATCTGCACCCTTGGGACTTACGAGGCACAGTGTCTAACACTGCAGTAGTGGTTTTGAAATACTCAAATTGAATGACAACGGGTTGATTGATGTTGATCCCCGGTTGGTGATAAAAGCTAGGCCTACAAATGTGCAATTATTTTCGTCCCACACATTTATTGCAGGTATATGAACGTAATACTACGCCATTCGAAATTCACTGACTGCGTTTAGTATCGCATGGATTTTCGATTACTTTGTGGTTCTGAGAAAGTTTTAGTTGGTCTTCGTAGGAGAGAAATATAAGTGACTAAAAACACATTTCAACAATTTGATTGTGGCTCTCCGCTGTGCCGGTCTGTGCTTGGCCGTGCCAAGGTGACGTAATCCCTCTCAAAGTAAGTACAAAATTTAGTGCCTTTATTGCCCAAGGCAACAGATACGAGCGTGTCGTCGCTACTGAAGCCGTTGAATATTGATTGTGCACGTGAATGATATATTCAAACTATTCATACGGTTGACTTTTATATTATGCGTTCAATAATTAGGTCACCTATTATATAAAACGAGAGAGTATTTCGTTGTTACGAAATATCTACGTAACGTCTTGGACAGCGTTTTCACGAATACTTATATTAAGGAAGGACGAAAGCGCAATAAATTGAGGTGTCGATTCGAAACGTCGATTACATTGCGTTATACTATGTATATTAAGACACCCACCAAAATTGCGCTTTGACGGGCACTGAGATTTTTGAGAAATCAGGGAGCGGCTTAACTTAGCGAGATGGCACTTAAAACGCCGTTAACGTATTTAATATGATTTTGAATTCCGAATATGCATCTATGAGACCGTTTGAAGTAATGTTATCACATTATCACATATGTCGATAAGTAGTGTACTAGAACAACTCAGATTCGATTTCGCCAATTTCGCTTTGCGGTTCGCTTCGGCCACCGACAAGTGCTTGTCCTACAAATCGGACGCAGCGCGGACATGTTGGCGAACACTGGGTGTTATTGTGCGCACACGGGGTAGCTCCTTAGCGAAGTAAGATGCTATCGGCAAGGCCCACGTTAACGGGCTTTGTGCCGTCGTCGGCGGCGGCCGTTGTCCGCGTCCCACAATGCCCCGCGCACCGCTCCCGCTCCCTCAGCGACAAATCACGCGGTCTTTCAGCCGCTGTTTGCGCGGCGGGGGGCGGTCTTATTTACCAGAAACCTGAAGCCCTCCCCTCCCCCTTGCCCTCGCCCCTGGCTGTCGCGCGGCGTCCAGCGGCGCTTTCCCTAATAGGCCACCCGTGAATGAAGGGCTTAGCGCTGCAAAGCCGAGTTGCGGTTTGTCGGCTCTCCCTGCGACCTCCACCTGGGCCGCCGCGACGAGGTGGATGTGGGGCCGCGTTTCGCTTGCTCGCTGCCCGCCCGCCCGGCCGGTCGGCTGGCTCGCCCGATCGCTCGCTCGGTGTGTTCTTCGGCGTTCAATTGGACGGAATGATCTTCCGCGGCGGCGGCGGCGACGACCTTGACGTGCGAAATAAATGGGGGGCGAGCGCGGGCGGCGGTAATGCGATGAGTTCGACTTGCAGCCCGTGTCGTTTTCGGTCATTGGACACCCTGGAGATTAAGGGGATCGAGGGCTTCTGTGGCGACTGACCTAATAAAAATAGTGATGGGGAAGAACGGCTGTTGACTCCGGTTTAAAGAGAAAATAATGTATACGGCTTTATTTGTTTAACAAGGCCAACCTGAGACGTTTCAGGTCATTTGAGATCGGCGAGATTCATGCTGTGAACGTTTTCTGACGAAAAATTGCTTATTTCGTGAAACATATTTTATTTGCGAATTTTAAGTATAAATGGAAATATATATTCAACAAGGATTATATGTTTAATAAGGTTTATATTGGCACAAAAATATGAAGTTTATTCTAAGACGGAAATGAAACATAGGAGAATACAAAACAAACTTTAAATTTACACCCCCACTTAGATGTGATAATATTAATTTGGCCATATTCTTAATGAACATACGCTACATACTTGTCTATATTCCCATGCGAAATAAATGGCGCCTACGCGGGCAGTCGCAATGCGAATTGTTAAACTTTCGATGCATGAGACGGCTATCTTCCGAGGCGTTATGATTAATTTATTTTGATTTTGTACAGATGAATGTGGTGGAAGCGTTTTGTAACTAGTTAATAAAAATAGAAAATTGGCGAAAAAAATCTTTGCGTATTTTATAGAAAAATATAAGCTTTTTTACATATATAACAAGACCTCTTGATGACTGCACAAACATGAATTGACAAACTGAAATGGAAATGCAAAATAATATTTTACACTAACATTTGAAAGTGATGGAAAATTTGGTTTAAACACATTTGTTAGAGTGAGAATTAAAGTGAATGAGACATATGGTAACATGATTGACAAAATACTGTCTTTCCGTGAAACTTGGTTTAGCCAATTTTAAATGAAAATATAAACAATAATTTCACAAGGTGACCTGATCACCTTATGGTATGAGTTTTAGGGTCATTTAACAAGAACAAGTTAATGCGATTGCGGTAAATGAACAGTTAAGTTATTTTAATGAGAAATGTTTATTATATAATTTAGAATAGATAGAATAGTCTTTAATTTAATTGTGAACATAAAACTCAAATGACTATTTAATGCCTAAAATAATATTCAAATTAAAATGAAATAAAATAATATTTTCTTATCGTTCCGAAAAGGTATAAATTAATTAGATTGAAAACATTTTTTAAATTAAAGTATATAAAAATACACCGACTACAACAATATCCTTATTCTTATCCTGTCATCCTGTATTCAGCAATATCTTACCTGTGGACGGGTTGTTGAAATTTGAGTAGGAAGGGTCCAGTTTCATATTCAAGGTTATACAAGCATCTGGGGAAGAACAATGTGTTAGAATTTTAGAAGCTTCTTTCAAAGAAGGAAAATTGAGAAAGACAAAACTACTATAATACGGTTATCAATTATACACAATCTAATACAAATCGGTCAGTTAAAACCGGAACAGAAACTGTCATGTGTAGTAAAATTCCATAGTTTGCAGCTTTTTAATATTTTCATTAAAATGTATTTATTGAAATAGCTTTGGAAGTAGATTTTTATCTGTACGCACTGGTGATGGAGAAAAGTCTCCAAAACGTGTTCATTAAAAATTCCTCAATAAAAATATAAATGCTTATATTGAAAGATAACATTCAGTTCCTAGACATATATTTCTGTTAAAATTTGAAGGGAGTTAAGCAGGGAGGGCGGGATCGCGAGCGAATGAACCGGAGCAGAATCATGGAGTTTGCGCGGACGGCATCCGAGAGTCCTAATAAACGCTCCCCCAACGGGGAATGAGTGTGTCCGTGGGTCGCGTCGCATTGCTTCGCGTCGTGAGGGAGCCACCGCCGCTGCATTTCCGAATGAGCTTCTAATGTCCTGTTGCTATTCAGCCGCCGCCGTCGGAAGCCAGCGCCGCCGCGCCGCGCGGCGGGGGGGATTTACCCATTCGCGCGCCTTTTGTGCGCCGGCGGGGGCGAGGGCGGGCAAGGGCAGACAACGGGGATGAGGGACAGGGGCGGGGATGAGGGACGGGAGGTGGGCGCCGGATGAGGGACGGGGCGCGTTGAGGGGACGGGAACCGCGTTGAGGGACCGGGACCGCGCGTTTGAGGACAGGGACGGGCCGGTGTGAGTTGAAGGACGTGCAGGCGTTGAGGACGGGGGGCGGTGAGGGACGGGAGCGGGATGAGGGACAGAGACGCGGACGGGGCGAGGTTGAAGGACGGTGCGGGTTTGAGGGACGGAGCGGGGTTGAGAGAACGGGGAGCGGGGGTGTGCGGGAGCAGGGTGAGAGAAATTGCAGGATGGCAGGGTACGGGGCGGAGGCGTTGGGGTCGCGCGCTTGGTTTGAGGGACGGGACAGCGCTGAAGCAGGAACCTGGGAAGAAGGGCGGACGTGAGGGCCTAGGTGTGAGTGGGTGGGGCTGCGGGCGGGCGGCTATGTCGGGGGTGGTGGACGGGCGCGGAGGGCGGAAAGCGGGCCGCGGGCGGAAGGCGTCGCGATCGGCGAGGAAGGTTGTGGCCAATGAGCGGCGCAGCCGGCCGGCAGCGTCTCACACATCGGACCCTCGCGCGCTGGGCCCGGGGCCCTCAGCGCGCCCATTTGAGCCACGCCTCCGCACCGACCCCGCCCCCCACCCCCAGCCAGCCTCGCCCGGGGCGACGCGAGCGGAAGACGCTCGAAGCAAAGCTCGCCGCCCACGCGTCCGCACCTCTTACCCAACCATCGTCTTGCATGAGTCTTCGAGGAAACTGTCGATTGGCCCCGTAGTTTGTGATTGTTGGCAAGCATAATGTGATCGACGTAATGAAAATTGATGAAATAATCCAAAGTTATCTCGTACAACTCAATAGATTTGAACGTCAACGTTATCAGAGTGAAAGACTCTACTAAGTTAACGGAGATACTCGATCCATATCATCACTTAGTTCTGAATAAGACAGAGTCTAGGCTCACGATAAGGCGGAAGTGTTTAAAATGAATCAAGATGATAGTGATAATGAGCTGTAAATGAAGATCATGATGGAATATCAGAGGAAAACGCGGATGGTAAACTCACGATCTCAAGAACATCTAAGAATAACTGCCCACATACACATATTTTAGTTGAGACGGACAGGAGCGGATCTCACTGATCATTTTTGAGGGGTCTATCACTTACTTTTTGTTAAATAATAACATCATTTGTTATTGTATTTTATTATATATATTTTCTGTAGAATTTGATTATAATACAATCATTTATTGTTTAAATAATTGAGACCATTAAATGAAATTAAATCATTTTTTCTTGAAGAGAAGCGAAAACAAAATGCCTGTTTGTGGGAGGGGACCCCTCTGATCCACAGTGAGGAATGAACGGGGCATCAAACTCGACCTACCGAAGCTTCGGAAGGTTCGCTACTTACGGAGACGTTCGTATTTAGAGCGATGCTTCAACACCGCACCATAGTTGATAAAAATCCAGAAGGTGTCCAGGGAGAAAGTTCATACTACGAAGCAACATGAAAGTAAATAGCCTCACCTTGCTCACCGTCGAAGCGCTCTAGGACCACTTGTCTTGTTCGCGTGCCTTTGCTCCGATGCCACTATGCAGTTTCGGTTTCGTAGTTGCAGTTTTAAATTGAAACTGAATTAATTGAATTGTTTGCCTTATTTTACGGGAGGAGACTCAGGCCATGAGGCCGAGCTGATCCGTCTAAACACGCGAATTTCGCTACCCTACTATTCACCAACTAGCGGCGGAAAGGATGTTTTCTGGGAGCGACGAAAGCAGGCGGATTTGAATTTTTAGCTCAGAGGCTTCATTTACGACTTGATATTTTTCCATGAATAAATCTAATAAACATGGGGACAGACGACTTTACTTCCCCTCTCGATAGAAGGCGTACGGAGGATTTTTTTCTCCCTAAACTTCGTCTTTCGATCGATTTTGAAACTCTGCGAACGTGGGTATATGCGGATTGACTCGAGTGCTTATAATTGAAGGAATTACTGTTGTTCAGCTGTTCAAATTATATGCAATGTAAAACAAAGCAGCTCCATGTCCAACCCGACTCCGCGCAAGGGCACTTGCCATTATTGGGATCAATTGCCCCGGGTTCTGCCTTCAAGTGACACATATGTCTTACGAACTATTCAAAATCCGGTAATACGAACACTGCGACGATTTTTCAGCGACGACACATAATTCCGTTTACGAATCGCCATTCTTACTCATTATAGGTTCATCGATGGGGCCGTGCTTTGTGGATTTTGAAGAACTAAACCGTCCTCCTCCCAGTGCCTATGATTAAACACGTTTATGCTACATTTCGAGTTTCGTAAGTCAACCGCTGGGAAGGACCAATCAAGATTTTCTTCCTTTGCCATTGCGTTGACGCCAATTCTCTTTCGGGACAATAGGGCAACTTCCTAACGTTGCCTCAATTCACTGTGACACAATACCGTACTCAGGATTCTATAATAGTTTTTCTCTCTCTTTCTCTGAGTACTTTCTGACTTTTCAAATCCATCTCTATAAAAGAAAGAAAATTTACGATGGATTGAACAAGCATCATTTCCAGCCACCATATTCTTGTACACTTCCCGCACAAAACTAAAAGAAGAGGGTATTTTTGGAACCCATTCTTGTATTTTTTGTTAATGTCAGGATGCATTCTTAGCGTGAATAAGTATCTTTCTTTGATCAGGTCGAGCGTTTCAAATTAGTGGTTTGAACGAGCGTTCAATCACTGTATCTAATCAGAATTGTTCTCTAAAAAATCAACTGTCAATTCACCTTTGAGTTCTCCGTCTGGTAGCTGAAGCTTGCTGCACTTGAGTTTTCCGTTATTACTGCTGCAAATGATTTATTGTGTCAAATATAGTAACTCCATGGAAACCGTGGTTCGAAGTACCAGTTAATAACCTGTTATATTTGCAATATCATTGCTCTGGCAGGTAAACGTCGGATGAATGTCTGTGTACTTTGGTTTTTCCTACAGCTCTTCACCACGTCGCCAAGAGAAATCGAGAATCGAAAAATCTCGCCGAAGCCTGCTTTGGCGGCCTGTTCTGTTCTTGGTGGAACAAAAAGAACGTACAACTTCGCGCTGTTCGTTCAACTTGGTCAGAGCAAGTTCATACTAAAACGAACGTCTTCCAAGGCACTCGTTCTCGATCGTAAATATTCATCTGCCCCACTAGCTAAAGGCTTCCTTCTCCCATGTGATCCAGGTGCGAACGGCTGCTTCCCAAATGCAACAACACCAGTATCCATAATAGCGTCGGAAAACGACGCATGAATCTGACATGAGAAGCTTTCATCGCGAGTTAAGCGTGAGTGGGCCGGAAGGCGCGGCCATAAACCTAAAGAATGAGCGCCCGCGATTGGGAAATATTGTGTCTGCGAGTGACGGTAGGCGGCGAGGACGGGGTGGTGGGCCGTCAGTCGCGGTGCGCGAGTGGGCGGGTGGCGGCGAGGAAGGGTGGAGGTGGAGGGATCATAGAGTTGAGGCCGACGGCCGGTGGAGGTCGGCGATGAAGCCGAGGGCCGCGAAGGTAGGGATTTGCGGATTACTTGATTGAAGACAATATTTGTAGTTGACTGCCACTTAAAGAAATTGGAATCTTCATTATTATCATGCCAACGTACCTTAAGTTGGATATTTCGGATTCGATTAAAGTTATTGAAAGGTTTATAAAGTACAGAAAATAATATATAATATACCTCATCATTGAAAGCATATATTAACAGAAAATGAAAGAAAACTATCTAATTTTCCAGTAAATGTCTATGTTTTATTTGATGATTTTCCCCGTTAAAAATAATCGTATTTTTTCACTAAACGAATTTATTTCCCTCTTTGAAGGTGTACCAAAGGTGCTTTGTGATTATCCAAAATTCGCCTGAATTGATATAATGAATGTTATCTTGTAATATTGACTAATAATGTAATGATTATCTATTCAGTAATCAGTTATTTCCAAATATTAAAAAATCTTCAGATTTAAATACAGTGTTATTTTTCATTTGCAAATATTGATTATAGATATATTTTTGCGCAGCGTGAAGTATCTCAACGTACAATATTACCACTTTAAGACTTGTACACCACTTTCTCAGCCCTCATCCAGCAATGCCCTACAAGGCCATTTTACGTCAATTGCTTCATGCATGCAAAACGTCTGTCTAAGAAATAATATCTACTTGCACTCAGCTTTGGCAGAAAAGCGGGGCGGAGGCGGCGGGAGGGCGGCGGAGGCGGCGGGAGGGCGGCGGAGCGCGGCGGAGGGCGGCGGAGGGCGGCGGAGGGCGGCGGAGGCGGCGAGGCGGAGGGCGGCGG